TTTCATTCCTTGCATGTTATTCTAATTATTATTGTTATTGTTCTTATCATTACCTTTATCACTGTTTTGATTATTATTGTTGTTGTTGGTGTTGTTAGTATCATTATCACTATCATCTTCTATCTCGAAATCGAACAACTGATGTCTTAACACGGTTTAGCATTATTAATTTGATTTTTTATGATAATCATTAGGAAGAGCAATTTTTGTATCTTTGCTGTTGCGATATACTGCTATTGGCATCACGATTATGTCTGTCATGTTATATCAACACTGCAACGATTTTGCATCAGTGTTATGATCCTCATCTCCAGCATTATTATTTGCCCTTATGCTATTATTATCATCGATATTCTTAAGATGAAATAATAATTACTATTATTATTAGTAGTATCGTCAATGCTGAAATAAAAAAAAACAACAACAACAACAACATTAATAATAATAATAATAATAATAATAATAATAATAATAATAATAATGATAATAATAATAAAATAATAATAATAATAATAATAATAATAATAATAATAATAATAATAATAATAATAATGACTAACTGCTAACAATAGTAACCATCAAAATATTTGCTAATGGTGATTATAATTACTAATATTATCATAGCGATCCTCGTGATGACAATAATGATAATAATTACATGTCAGAATGATAGTGCGTATGCAAATGATAAAGGACACACAAAGATAATGAAAAATGGGCCTACGTGTGATTGCACACTTGGCATGGAACAGTATCAGACGTGGTCCTTGGAATTCCCCAGCCACACCGTTAACCATTCCTCCATCACGGCGATCTTCTCTTAGGAAGAAATTAGTGTTATATATAAACTAAGCATTTGTTGCATTAACACTTGTTGTATTTAATACATATTTCACATAATTGTGATAATGCTAAGAAAAGAGAGCGAGAGACAGAGAAAAAGAGAGACATTGACAGTAGAATTGGTAGGTAAGCTCTCTTGATAAACATATTCCTTGATTAGTTATCGCTGGCGGGCATCTACACATCATGTATATTTTTAAAGGAATTTTACGCCACAACTAGTTCTCAAAAATAGAAAAAAAAAGTTCTTTCACAAATATAGAGCACATAATTTTCACACCATTACAGAAGTATTCTTTCATTAATGGTTTAATTTATAATGGTTTTCATTATCACCATTAAAGATAACATATAATTTATTACTAGAAAAGGCGAGTGTGTATTTTATGCCCTTTTGAATCCTTATATTTATGCTTTTCAGGAATAATAATGTGCTTGCTAAGTCAGTTTTGTCTTTCTGTTGTAATATTTTTTTCGAATATATTTAGATATGTGTTTGTGATTGAGATTTTTTTTTTTTTTTTTTTTTTTTGTCGAGAGAGAGAATGGAGACATACATATTGTGTATTTATATAAATATTTGTTTATTTATTTATAAATATATAGAGAGCGAGATTGCTCCTAATTTCTCAACCAAATCAGCATTATCATAATGAGAGAGAATCAGACTGGTAGACACAGACTGGGAACAATCGTAATCACATATACAATCTAAACATAAGTGAATGATAAATTCACCAGAAAACGATAACCGACATAACTTGCACAATTGTGCAAAATAGCTTATTCATGTTTATTTTATTGAAAAATTAGTGTTATATTTAAACTACGCATCTGTTGCATCTGTTACATATTTGACACAATTATGCCAATGTTAGGAAGTGCCAGAGAGAGAGAAAGAGAAAGAGAAAGAGAGAGAGAGAGAGAGAGCTTTACAACAAACCTGAGCCAGAGGAGAAGGCAGACAAAATTCCCTTTTGAATACATATATTCATGCTATTGAAGTTTGTCGTGAGAGAAAGATGATTGATACGAGAAAGAGAGAGAGAGATTGCGGTTGGATAAGAACTGATTATTGTTATCCTTTAATATCATTTGTGTTATTATACTCATTATCATAGTTCCTTATTTCTTATGAGAATATGTAAAACAATTAGATATATCAATATTCTAACAAGTCCACTCGTAATAATGTTGATAAGTGTAAATTTAGCAACTATAATAACAGCAAAGATAATGCTTATGATAATAATAATGCTGTTGTATCAATTATAATTTGCATAAGTGTTTTATTCATCCTCACCGTTATTATTAGAAGTAACATTACTATAATGATAATAATATCAATAGTAATGATAATGATATGACAATAATAAGAAGAATGAGGATACAACTAGTATTAACTTTTTCAAATATTTCTTGTTGATTTTATTCCATTTTATTAATGAAATAAGTTATGACTTTTTCTGATGCATTCATCTTGCAATATACTGTTTAGTTTTCTGTGATTGTGATTGCTGCATGCTTTATTTTCAGATAATATCTGAAAAATGTTACATTGCAACAGCTCTTGCTAAAAAAAATGTCAGCGTATACCCAGACAACGTAAAGTCATCAGGAAAAGTTTATAAATATTTGACCAATTAATAACTATTAGTTGTGGTCACTACTGTTCCTTGCTTAGAGTGTATTTTTGCATTATTTGTCAACATTATTATTGTCATATTTCGAAAGTGAAAGATGGATTTCTTTACTGAAAACATAACTAACATGACCTTGAAGATCATTCATATTAGTCTATATATATCCTTCTCATCAAATTCAGCCTTTTATTAAAATATGCTGTTGTTTTCATCATCATTGACATAAATGTTATTATCCACT